CTCCTCCTCTTGTTTTCTTAAATTTAATAAAAAAAAAAAATGTTTAAAAAAAAGGGGGGGGGGGGGGGGGGAGAAGTCCAGTTAAAAGTCACGTTCCCAATAATGGCACATTTCCCACTTATCAGCAGATTTGTTCAACTTATTTCCATAAAACATGTAGAGCAGAATGTACCTGTTTTACCCGACTCATAGTCACTTATCACGCCAGCCTTCACATCATAGTTGGTGTGCAGCGATAAAAGAAATCACATTTCTTTTGCTGTGTGACACTCGGATGTTATATCTTTCAAACTACGTGCGACACTTTGTTACTTTTTCCTTGCAGCTGCTAATAACACCACTTACTTTTTTCATTGTTTCTGCAGGATGATTATGTGCGAACCTGGGATGAAAATCAAGGCTCTAACGACAGTAAGTCTCGCACTCCCTGTGTTGTCTGAATGTGTGGTTTTCTCTGTTTCTGAAAGCAAACAAGGAGCTTTTGTTGTTGGCAGCATTAGAGCAAAGTTACTCACCTGAAACAACCAGCCATATAGGTTTTTTTTTTTCTTTTTGTTTTTTTTTTTACATAATTATTAAGGCTGAGACCGTTGCTCACTCAAGGATGACCAACAACAGATTAGTGCCAGAGCCACTTCTGCATTTTCCAAATAATTCATTGGTTGGTGGCAGCAAATGCCACTGCTGCCACCAACTGTTTTGGAGGGGAATTGCTTGTATTCCCATAGGGGGGTACAAACAATCACTAAGCAGGGGTGGCCAAGACATTTTTTTTTTCACTTCTTTCGAAACAAAACATCTACAGTGTTTATTTTTGTTTCTCACAACCCGTGAAATACATTTAATGGATGGTAATACTATGCATTAGCTGTAAGCGTATTTTTAAGCCTTTAATATGAAGCCTTGATAAGTCTAAGAGATGCATTAAAGAAATTGAAAGGTACGCACAAAGCAAAGCCAGATTTTCTTCTATTTCAGAGCTCAACATTAACTGTGTAGTGAGGGGCAATTTTCATAAAAACAACTCCTCCAAAAGATGCTAGTGCTCTGCTTTATTTGTACGAGTGATTTGCCCTCCAGTGACAACAGAATTGCCTCAACTTCAACCTAGCAGCACCTCTTTCTGTTTCCTCCTACTATTTTATTTATTTTTTCTCTGCTTGAGCTGGAACCAAGCGCAGGATGTCTGCGGTCACCTTCCCGGCTCCTGCAGCTACTGCGGCCCTAATTGAGTCCCGGCAAAGCAAAGTCCTGACACAGTGTTGAGCTGTCAGCTATTGTTGTCTTTTGTTGGGCGATTTGCAGCTTAAGTGGAGTCAGCTGAAGAGCAGAGTACATTAGCACAATTTCCAAGAGCTTTAATGAAAGACTAATTATGCTTCGTCATAAAAAGCTTGACAGAGAGGTGGAGGCGTTAGATGAGAGGGTGGAAGTTAATGTACTTTGATTTATTGTTCAAGGGAGGACATCTGTATTAGGCCTGCTAAATATAAGACAACTTGGACAAAGAGGTGGTGGGGGGGGGGACAGGGTTAAAACAAATGTACAGTTTTAAGAGCGTGTGGTTCAGCTGGAAATAGATTTTTGTTGTTTTTTTCTGAAGATGAAACTGAGGTCATTAAGTTTACTTTCATTTCTGACATGTCAGATTTAAAGCAAACACACTAATAAGGTGAAAAACTATATTCATAAGCAACAGTAAAACTGTCCTCAGATAATCTGCTGTCTCTTATATCTTTCGGTATTTTATTTTGATATCACCCATCTATGCGTTTTGCTATAAGCATATAATTTTTTCCCCCCAAAGCAGAACAACAAAACCCCTTTGAGCCTGGACATCACCTTTCCAGTGTTTCCTGCTTTCGAGTGGCATTAAGGGTATCTATATTCTGATTTAAATGTTTTAAATTTATCAATAGCTGAACAATCAATACTTTTATGCAAATCTAAATATGTTCTTCAAGCCTAATGTTTGTTCTATATAATGTGGCCCCTTTTCCTTTTGACATTAAAGAATAATAAGCTAAAATAAATTGTTTGCACGAAAAAAAAATGATCAAAAACTAACTTGGAGCCATTCAAACACCTCGTATCTTAGAAAAACAGAGCAATGTGAGCTGTTATATGATCCCCTTCTTTGAAGGAGCTGATAAGACGAGAGATTTTTCATTAATGCCAAGCTATTCAGTGATTTATAAACTAACAGAAGTATTTTAAAGTCTATTCTCTGAGCTACAGGGAGCCAGGGTAAGGACTTCAGAACTGGATGATGCTCTATTGTCTTGGTTTTAGTGAGAATTTTGAGCAGCAGCGTTCTGTATCGACTGTACCTGTCTGATTTTTTGTAGTCAGATCTGTCGCAGTAATCAATTTGGTGAAAGATAAGACATTGCTGGGATATTAGGTCTTTAATCCTAGAAATATTCTTTAAGTGACATAAAGCCAACTTCACTGAATGTCTTCCCATTATTTTCCTACTCTACTTCCTGTCCAGCAACTGATGAATAAAAAGATATTTTAAAAAAAAGATTAATTCGTAATGAAAGGTGATATCTTCAATGGGATATTTCTTTCTCTTGATTACAATGTGTCTGTTTCTGTAGCATTAGACTGGTAATGCTACAGCTAATACTTGCTGGAGGTGTGGACTCTGATGTAGTTTTAAGTTTTACCCAATTGCGTTACGTTTGACCGTGACGTATGTAATGCTCCAGACTTTAGTACTTAAACAGCGCAGAATCTCGACATCGTCAACAACAACTTCTCCTTCTGTTAGTTGACGGGACCGGTTGAAATTCAACCGGAGAATCCCAGACTAAGCACTGAAGGTGCATGAGAAGGCCAGGCTGGTGTCGCTTAGCAATTTAGGCTAACTTTATGAACTGAGGTATTCTGTAGAAAATCTGAGAAATTATTTCTCAAAAGAACCAAAATGGCTTCAAAATAAAAATAAATGAATGACAAATTGTCCCTGGAGGGTTAAAGAATCTCAGTTTGGTGTAGAATTAGGTTTTGAAACAGATGCTAATTTTTAGCATCCTTCGTGGCTAACAGTCTTTCTTTCCAATGCTAGCAAATAATTCCTTAGTCACAGTTTTTTTCTTCCATTTACCCAAGTTGCTCTCACTGAGCATATTTAAGTTAACACAACAGGGCAGCAGTTTAACTCCTTTCTTGCTTTGACATTAGCATCGCAAACAGCCACTTCACGAGGCAGACTTTATTTACATAAGAAATATAGCATGTTTTTAATATTACGAGATCTCATAAAAAATTACGTTGCAAAAGAAAAAAATGGTTGGAACTTCTTTATTTTGACCTGTTTGTACGTCAAATTTTGCAACATTTGGTTTGTTTTGATGTCATTAAGCATCGGAGATCACTTTAATTACCAGCTGTTTGGTTTCACAGCCAACCGAACTGTCACTGATCAGAATTAATCAAGAAACGTTGTACGGATTAAGGCTGCGCTTCAGACAGGAGGATTTCCACTTTGATTTTCTGCAGTTTCAAGCCTTTAATCTACTTCCCTTCCTCGCTTTTGATGGGACTCTTCTACCTCCCACCATTGATCTGCCTTCCTTTATGAGTGGCCTAATGAAGCGCAGAAGTGAAAAGAGATTTGTCCCTTCGAGACATCCCTAAATCAGTGTGATGTCTTTACTCCGGAGCGCTGCGCCTGCGGGCGTCATTTCTCAGCCAGGCGTCCATGCACAGGAAGGCAGAGCTTCAGAACTGTCAACACTCCTTACGCTCAGAGTTAGAAGGCCAATGCAGACAACGGGGTGATGTTCGAATTTGCATTCAGACGCGGCAGCAGCTGACTGCTCTTAAGTCGGCAGTGTGCTGAGCGAGGGAGTTGTCAGGGTAATTTGGAGCCGATTTCTGCAGTTGATTCATCAATCTAGCTGCTGATTGAATCACCCCGCTCTTAAGACAGCAAACACTGCAGCCGGGGCGCTTGTAATTTAGACTTCTAAGAGCAAACAAGTGTGCACGTGCACACCCATGCAAGCAGTCCAAGGCTTGCACAGAGCTCGCGGAAGGGCCTCATCCTTCAGGACTTTTCCAGTTTACACTGGATCGACACCGATATGAGAAGGCCAGATGAATGGTGAATAGACACTTTGTGGCAAATCGTTGGCTTCAGATCAATGGCAGACAGTAAGAAGATAGTAAAACGTGCTGAGTGCACACTCTAAGGTTTGGAGTTTAACACCTCTTGACGCTTTTGATAGATTATTGGTGACATGCTGCTTCCAATGCACAGACACTGATGCTATTAGGTTGCTAACAAGGTCCTGCATTTCTGCATCAGATGAAGCACCAGCATCTCAAATGTTTTTTTTTTTGCTGGAAAGATTCTATTATTTTTGAAAACAAGTTAAGAATAACCTCTCAGCTGTCACACATCTCAAAAGATGTCTGGAATCACTTCACATGCAGCCTTTTCTTTTACTACTCGAGGGCATTGTAAATGGAATGGCTTCAAATTAAGCCCAGTGTACCTTTTTATTTTTTTAGGTTTTCATCATTATTGGCACTGATTTGACTTAATTGCTTCAGTATTTCATTAATCCTTCACCATCTTTTCAAAATCTGAAAAGAGCGATGAGCATTTATAATGAACCCCCTGAATAATCTTTGAACCAGTGACCATTAGAAATCACCTAATAAGTAACTAGAGTCTGGATGTAATTTAATCTGAGTTTAAATATGTCTGTCTTGTAAAGACCTCAAAGATTTGCTAGACTAGAGAAAATTAGAGAGCTTTACACATCTGGTTTGTATATAAAAGCAAAAGCCATTGTTGCAAGAAAGTCAAATAAAATCCTGTTAAATCCCTCAAACGATGTAGGAGACCTACCAACCATGTGGCAAAAGATGATCTGGTCAGATGAGTGGAACGGTCAGTCCTGGTCTTCAGGGCCTACTGTCCTCCATGTTTTCGGTACTTCCCTGTTGCTACACACCTGACCTAAATGAATACATGACTAGAAAGTTTCTGCAGCAACTGATCGCATGAAAATGCAACCGTTTGAATCAAGAATCAATACTGACAATCTTCATAAAATACCCAGAATCTCGAGGTTGCGAGATGAAAAATGTGGCGAAGTTTAAAGTGCAACGGACAGTTGTCCGCCACATCGACTGACAAGACCGCATAGCTCTGACGTTACTGGCCGGCTTTGTAAATAGAGGATAAAAGAGTTGATGATGAGGATGTGGCCTGAGCTCTGTTCCAACTATCCTCAACTTGATGGGATAAACCTCATGCAAATCTGGATTGGATTAGACAGAAGCACTGGCAGGCCTAATTAGGAGAGGTTTTCCTCTGCAGGCATTAGTTTAATACCAAAGAAGAGTCTTTCAGAAAGAAGGTGGCTTTCAGGAGTTAGATGCAGAAAGGA